TGATGCCAGGGGTTTAGGTGGAGAGCAAATGTTTTGAGAATGATGAGGGCAATGAATGTACAAATGTGCTTTACACAATTGATGTATGTATGGATTGTGGTAAGAGTTGTATGAGCCCCTAATAGAATTATTTTTTTTAAAAAGAATCCAACAATAAAAAAATTAATTAAAGAAGATAGAAACAATAATTAACATTCTAGGGAAAGCACCTGGAAAGATGAGGAGACTGGGCAGGGAGAATGAACCTACAACCCAAACTACCAATGATATCTTTAGAAAGGTCAGAGGAAAATTGCATCCATGAAACAGGAGTATAATGCTATACAAAAGGAACATTTTGAGAACACAAGGGAATATCCCTAAATTGAAAATCAAATCAATAATAGTTGCTCAAAAGATTAAACACCAGCTTTCGTGGGTAGTGAATTTATATTATGTTAATGGGTGGGGACCAACTCAGAGAAGAAAGAACAGGATGGTTCACAACTCAAAGAATGTAATCACCATCACGAAATTTTATGTATTAAAATTGTTGAATGATGTATAATATATAATATGCTGTCTATTTCCTCAATAACAAAATAGAGCATTTTTAAATTCTTCTATTGATCTCACTTTTCCGCCACCATCTACTAGCCCATGTCTTTATTCTTAGTTACAAAGAAGGTAGAGGAGTTAACTTTATTTGTTCTTTCCTGGTCTTACAATCTTACTGTCAGCATTTTCTTAAAAATACAGAGAACTGCACAATCGTGTGAGCTAATGAATTATACAAAATGAGCATGGTGTGCAACCATTGTTCTTATGCTGGTTTCCATTCAGTTACTTGTGATGCATGTTGAGCTAGCTCATGTATGCAGAATAGAACTGCTCCATATGATTTTCAAAGCTCTTACTTTTTGGTAGAAGATAACCAGGCCCGTCTTCAGAGGTACCTTTGAGTGGGTTTGAACTACTATCCTTTTGGCTGATATTGCAGTACTTAACCATTTACACTACATGGGGCCCATTCTAAAGGTCAAAAACATAAACCAGCCCCTTCCCTCAAAGGTAACTAACCAGTTTTGTAGCCTTTCATCTTAGAGGTTTACTTTGCCTCTGTTTTTTAACATTTTAGAATTACATTGTGCACATTTTGAAGTATGAGTTTCTTGCTTCATTTGATCCATTTTGTGAGATTCAGCCACATTTTTACATTTGATAATAACTTATTCCTATAAAATAGCATTTTATAAGCATATCAAAGTTTATTTATGTATATTGCCCAACTCAAACTCATTGCCATCCAGTGTTGGCTATAAGACAATAGTAAGCTTCATCTTTCCACTGCAGAGGAGCTGGTAGTTTCAAATGCAAACCTTGAAGTCTGCAAATATTTCGTATTGCTACTAATGAATATTGGGGTTTTTCCCCCCAGTTTTGAGTTACAATGTCACCCCGAATATAATTGCATATGTTTGTTTTGTTTTTATGTATACATAAAGGCATTTCTGTTGCCCACTTGCAAGGTCATATATTCAGTAGTAGTGGACAATGCAAACAAGTTCCCCACGTGGTTATTACTGATTTGTAAGCAAGTCCTGTTTCACCAAAAGGTCAACCGTTCCAGGCCTCTGGCATCTCAGTGGGAGAAATAGAGCAGTGTGCATCCGTAAAGATTTAAAGTCTCATAAATCATACATGGCTCAAGCATAGGAACCGTTGTGAGGATGGCGCAGGACTGGGTAGTGGTTCGTTCTGTTGTGCATAAGGTCACTGTGCGTCGGAACCTATCAACAACATATCATAAGGGGCAGTTCTACTCTGGCCTATATGGTCGCTAGG